TTGTTCCAAGGTATAATAGTTATTTTTTATACAAGACGATAAAATGTTTTTCGTCGTGTATAAAACAATAGTTTTTTCCATAGCGATTACGTTTTAAAAAATATTCAGAAATTATTATTTCAAGGAATTTATTAAGAGTAGAAAAAATATTGTGCTGGGTTGGCGTTGCGTTGGTTTCTATGTAATTTGACAAATAAATAAAGCTGTCTCTTTAGTTGTCAGTTTTGAGTCAATATTTTTTAATTCTTTTTCGTGTCGATTGCTGATTGAATTGGAGCCAGAAATGGCTCAAAACGAAATAAGTAAATTACCAACAGATATTCAGGTTGAGGCGACAAACGCCATATCCAAACTACTTCCATTTAAATCCCGAATAACTTATGAAAAGGAATACAAAAATTTTCAAAAATGGAAGCAATTAAAAAACGTGCGAGAAGAAATAAAGTTTTTAACCTATCCTCGCTGTTCAAGTATCATTTAATCTACCCTTGCGGTTAAAGTACTAGTTTATCTACTATTTTTGATAGATATAAGGCAATTTTAACAGTAGCTATGGATAAAACATATTTTTTTCTCGCGGTGTATTAATAAAACATGTTTCAATTTTTTTTCCACGATATAGTCTTTGTTTGATTAATATATAGACTGCCAAATGACGTATTTTATCATATACTGTCGTTAGAGCATTACCAAAGCAAAAATAAAGGCGTATATTGGTTTTGCAAGCTTTATATCTGTTTGTACAGTATTAACTGACAGATGAGATTTCTCATTTTGCTAATACAATTTGCGAATAAAATTAATAAGATTATATACATTAATACAAATCATCTTTTGCAATATATTGTATTGTTACATCCCACAAATTATTTATTTGTCTTTAATTTTGTTGGCTTTTTTATTCAATAAAATTAATCAAAAAAGATAATAAATCTTATTTTATATATATTTTAGTGTATGTATTGTATGAGCAATTCCTTGTTTGAACTTTATATTTTCATGCTTATTACAGCATTACATATGTCTTGTAATGAATTCCTCGAAGTCTTTTGTTTGACATCGAAATATGCATGTCATTTTACACGAGTGCGTTCCAGAAATCGTGTGCTTAACTAAGCGTGAATTCACCTTAATATTGAGACCTTTTACATGGGGTTTATGAATAGTTTTGAGGCAATAAAAGTACATATTTATTATGCCACGTTCCTTTAAGAATAGGACAAATAAATCTATTAAGCATTTATTTGACTGATTTATTTTTTAATCTAAAAATATTAAACGATCAGATCTATTTTTCCAAGGCTCCTTGATTAAAAATTAGTGTTTTTAACACAGATATGGCGTTCTAGATTGAAATTTAAAATACAATTTTGTTTTAAGCGAAAATGTCAAAAGTTGACATATGATATGTCATTCTATTCAGTGTGTATTCAGTCCGTCAAACAGGAAGTGGCCAAGAACAATTGAATACGTTAATCAATCCTAATTTATGTCATATACTAACATACCAAATCTTATTTTTTTATCTGAAAAAATAAAAAATTGTAGTGGTGAGCCACTTTTGAGACGCACCCAGTATATGAATAAATAAAGATAAAGGGAATATGAACTATACGAGAGAGAAATAAACCTTCTAATTAGATTGCTGTTACTAATTTATTTAGTTTATATAATTTATTTTCAAGCTCGGTTTGTTCTGTCCCTCTTTGTTCTTGCAATGAAAATGGACAAACTGTATAATTATTTAGCAACTTGTGGGTATAGATAAGGGAATGTGCTCAAGCATTTTAACGCAAATTTATCAAATAATATTAATATTTTATTTATTTTTTATAATTATATTAACAGATTATTAATTGTTTCAATAATATGAATATTTTTAAAATAATTTTCAGTGAAAACCTAATAGATTGGAAGTAGAAATATCTTGTTTTTATCCTTCCTTTATTTACTATAGTATATAATTTTGTTAGCGCTTTTATATAGAGTTTACCCTAATTAACAGAGTGATTGATGCCTTTTTGATGCTACTCATGGGGAATATTGTGCCCATTTAATACATCTAGAAATTAACTTGTACTTATTCGATTATACGTGTTATACACAGTGTCTCTTAATATTTATTTGGAATAATATAATCAAAAAAATAAAAAAACTGTGTCAAAGACGGCTGGGAATGGCAATTGATGATAATTTTGGCGAGGCCAAGCTCTAGACGTCATTTACTTAGCCCGTACATAGAGCAGTTTCACAATTTTAATATACGGTATGTCCCCGGATCGTCTCTACAAGAGGAAAAAAATATTATTAAAATTTTGAGAAAAATCTATTTTTATAGAAGGTTTTGCTTGTTTCAAAATGGCTAATCCCGTTATACTTTGATGAGATATTGAATTGTTTTTTAACGAAAAGTATGAATTGAAAAGTTTACTGGCGGTTTGTACGATGATTTAGCTGTCACTCGGGTTGTCACCTGGTATAAAAATTTGAAATTTTAATTTAGTAATTAAATATGTTTTCTATAAACAGAAAAACTTGACCCGATTTTCGAAATTTCAATTAATTTTGTTTTAAAATAATCATATATTCGATATTAATGTAAAATGTTTCGAAATACACTTCATGACGGCTTACATCTGTTTTAATGCTAAAAATACTGTTAACTTCACATAGAACACGATATTTTAATGGAATTAAATTAAAAATAAATCAAGCTACACCTCAGAGAAAGTGGTAAATATAGAGGAGTTAGTTAATTTGGTTAAATCTTTCCACACTGTCAGATAAAAAATACAAAAGGAATATCAGTTGAGCATAAATTTATATGTAGCTACAGTAGAGATTTGTCTGTAAAATTTGTCATTGAAGCTTCTTTACTATATTTATTTTACAGGGTATTTGGAGATTTGTTATTTTTTAGAATAGATTAGATTCTCGTGTGGTCCTCTTCTGAACGCGAATTCGGCTCTGCGCGTTCGGTTCGTCCTGTTCGTTCGGGCTAAAATGCTCAAGTCTGGACGCACCTTTAGGCCTAGATTTAGTGATAGGATCACTCGAGTGAGAAATAGTCGGTCACCCGAGTATTCATATCCTCGATATGTCTCGAGGATTTTTGTCGATTCTCGAGAAACATTTGGTGTGGCGTACCGTGCTCGCTGCTGGCGAGGATACAAGGCGATTTACGATTTACGCTGAAACCTTTTATCCTTGTTTATACAGGGTGACAATTTGAAAACGAACAGTATTTAATATTACCTCTACCGATGATAGTATGAAAATTTGGTGAAATACGTCAATTTACATATCAAGGGAGACAATTTTTGAGGCATTTTTTGTTGTGTTACTTTCAAACCCTTGACCCCCAGGGCACCTACCCCTAAAATTTTAAATAGCAACCCCTATTTCTTTTACCATTTTTGTGTTTCTTATCGAATTCTACATAAACTGTATTATTTTTTTGAGAATTTCATAAAGAACACAAAAATGGTAAAAGAAATAGGGGCTGCTGAGGGTCAAAGGATTGAAAGTAACACGACAACAAATGCCTCAAAAATTGTCCCCCTTGATATGTAAATTGACGTGTTTCGCCAAATTTTCATACTATCATCGGTAGAGGCAATATTAAATACTGTGCGTTTTCAAATTGTCTCCCTGTATGTAGGCTTTTATATAGAGAATAGAGGACAACCGTTCAATCACTTGCTCGCATAACAATAATAATCGGTTTTCAGAGTAGTAACCTGCATTTTTGTTTAGTTTAGATGTAGGGATATATTAATAATTAATATAATATTGTGTGTCACAGGGCTTTGAAAAAAGCCAGTATCTGAGACGGCTCCACAGAGGCCAGCTCTCCATCCTCGATATCAGCCATACCAGTAGCAGAGCTAAGGTAGCAGGCCATATTCCATTGAAACCGTGTCATAGAAAATATGAAACATCTCACCGGCAAAAAAACCGGCCACTAAAAGCTAGTCCCAATTTCAAAGTTGGATTTCTCGCGAACCACTCATTAGATTTTGATGATTCTTTTTTTAAATTGTAAATTAATTCTTTCTTAACGGATGATACGTCAGAAATTTTATTCCGAATTTATTTTGAGCATATACAGGGTACAACAATAAGACGTGGTTTTTGTCCGAACTTGCAGACAAGTTGTTGGCAGGTCTCCTTGCAGACAAGTTGTTTTCTTTTAGTCTTCGTCGGATTGTTCTCCCACTGACTTGAGTTCTACGCACGGCTTGTAGCAGATGTTGATTCCGAAACGCTGTAATTCTACGATTTCGTAAAGTATTCAGGACAATAAAGCGGTCGTCAATTGCATTTGTCTTCCGTTTTCTTCTGGAACCCACTCGACTGGTGAAATTTCTCGTTTCCATATACCGATTCCAGGCATTCTGGACTGTTGTTCGAGGTATACCCAGGGTATCGGACACAACGTTGACTTCGGCCATCTTCAATCAAAGCCACAATACGAGCAACATCCGTCACAGATAATGGCATTTTTTAATTTAACAACCTTGATTGTTTACACTTAAAATTGAGTGATTTGATTATTACACATAATTGATTATTTACACATAAAACTTTGTGCCTGCGCTGCGAAGCATTTTTCCGAGACGTTTGTTTTAAAGCAGCGTATCTTCAATACAAACAGAGATAATGTCGTGATTAAAAAAACAAAATGCTCACAAAAGATGAGGCTACAATACGATTTGATTTAGCAATACCTACTACAGCTGCTGCATCCTACAGGGTGTTACAAAGTTCGGACAAAAAACTTCGTCTTATTGTTGTGCCCTGTATATGCTCAAAATAAATTCGGAATAAAAATTTCTGACGTAGCATCCGTTAAGAAGAAATTAATTTACAATTTATAAACAAAATCATCAAAATCTAATGAGTGGTTCGCGAGAAACCCAACTTTGAAATTGGGACTAGTTTTTAGGGGCCAGTTTTTTGCCGGTGAGTTTATTAAGAAGAAATATATCACTTTTTAGGGAACATCATGAATAGGGCATTTAGAATTCATCCCGGCATGATGGTGGACGGAGGTATGGTTGCTCAACCAGCAGACGGAAGAAGTGCTGCACTTAACCAGAATGACACAAGAAGGTAATTTATACCAAGATACTAAAATGATTTTTGACAGCATTTTTGTATGAATTATTTAACAAAAATTTATGTATTTCAGGAGAAGGTCCTCAAGTTCGATTATCGAAGGAACTCCGCAGCTCCTATCAAAAATGCGTAAAGGTTTGTAAAAGAAATATACTATTTTATTATTAAATCAAAATTTGACCCAAACAGTTATACAGAGTGAAACAAAATTAGTATTGCACATTACCTTGGTTACCTTTAAAAGCAAGTTAATACTTTAGTTTAAATGGAACACCCAGTATATTATTCCGATATTCAATGGGGAATTCAGGCATCTTCAAAATAATAGTAAGGTTGCCTACCCCTCAAACAAAAATTTTCCTAGGTATTTTCATTTTTATGATTTAGTGTGAGTACATCTTTATTATTTGATAAAATCTGGGTGGGTCTGATATGCCTGACGTTACTTCAACATATAGCTCTCTAATTAGTTCAGCTTTAGAGCAACCAATTATCATTTCATGTCAGTTAAAACAAAAAAAAAACAGAACCCCATTTGCCAGATCCAAAGTGGGGTTCAATTTTGGCACATTCTACAGGATATTTTTTTGCAGTAACAGTAAGACCTCTAAATAACAATTTTAAATAATTTAGTTTAGCTTTCTCACCTGAAGAAGTTGTAATAAACAGTAGCATGTAATGTTTTTTGAAAATATACAGTGGAAAGTAAAATCACAGATTATACAGATTATAAACTTATCGTCAAAAGCATTGTTTTTAAACGGTTTTATTTAGCTCGACCCGTACGGTATTTATTTATTTGAGTCAAAATTAGAAATAGAAATTTAAGTACCTTCCTGTTGTCAGATTGATCTGAAATTTGGTACACACCTTTAGTTCCGATGACAATACAATATAGTAATATCAATAACATTGTAAATCTAAGATGGCCGCCGGTACAAAATGGCGGATTTCATATTTCTCCACAACCCCCTCAATATGGGTATCAAATGAAAGGGCTACACTAGTAGAATACTGTGATTATGACAAAATTTAAAATCCAAGATGGACGTCGTTACAAAATGGCGTATTAGGTGAGGGCATGAGTAGTCGTGTCCAGAACAGTTGTGCCCAAGATTGTGTGACGTTAGAAGGACAGATAAAAAAAAATTGGTGATGAATTTGTGAAAATGTTGCGGTCCAACATTGACGTTAGAAAAGGATTAGTAAATGGTGCTATAGGCAACATTACAGAAATTGTTTGGCCTCAGTTCCGTCGAACCCAAATGTACGAAACAGATGTACCATCAGTTTGGATTGACTTTTGTAGAGACGGCATACACGTTATACACCCGAAAGCCATACAGTACTTAATCCAGCAAAATTCAATTATGGTACGGCTGAAAGAAGGATGTTACCCTTAATTTTGTCATGAGCATCCACCGTCCATAAAATGCAGGGCAGCACAGTCGACCATGCAGTAGTGTATTTGGGCTCAAAATTGTTTGAGGAAGGGCAAGCATACGTGGCTCTAAGTCGAGTCAAGTCTCTGGAAGGGCTATGTATTGGAGATATTAGATTGTAATAAATTATCAGGTAAAAAACCATGTAATAATGATGCACTAAATGAATTAAATAGAATTAGGAATATTCGGTAGGCATTTCCGTTAAATACTAAAAACTAGAAAATAAAAAATCGGTAAAAAAACTTTTAAGTTAAACGGTTTTATCTTATGTGCACTGAAAACTAGGAAATAATAGTAACAATTAGGTATTTTGAACTTCTAGTTCAGAAATATTTTAGTACTAGGCAGAATAGCTTTTAGGCATATTAGACTAAAATAAAAACGTGGGGCCCCTCTGAAATCCTACCTATGGCAAAGCATATCTTTATAATTTGGTAGATCATGAGCTCGGCGTTCGCTGGTGAAGCCGCCACGGCTGGTTATTGATTGTCAAAATCTCCAGTTACTATTATAATAAGTCGATGCAATCCACACTTAGTATAGATGAAAGTATTACAGCAATAGTTAATGGGCCCCACGTTTTTATTTTAGTCTAATATGCCTAAAAGCTATTCTGCCTAGTACTAAAATATTTCTGAACTAAATTGAAGTTCAAAATACCTAATTGTTATTATTATTTTCTAGTTTTCAGTGCACATAAGATAAAACCGTTTAACTTAAAAGTTTTTTTACCGATTTTTTTATGGTTCCAATTTTCGGAGTCGCGCACTAGTTAGGTTACTAGTTTGCGCACATAGCCACGTCCACTTATGGCCTCTAAAATTGTGCACAGCGCCTGACTGACCCAGTTATTACGCTGTTTAAACGCGAGTTTATTTTTGCGCACAGGAAATCTTACTCGTTTTGCTCATCGTCATAAAAAACAAATTTCGCACCACGAATTAGGGACAAGATTTTTATCTGTATACATATAATATACATAATTAATCTCCCATACAGCACATCAAATCACATTTACGATGTGTTTACATTATTAGATGTAGACACAGGGTGACACAATTCCCCCGATGTAAATATGCTACATTTACACATTGTAGTTCAACACGTATGCACAAAGGTTAAACGTCCGCCTCACAATGTAGCCACAGTATAGCATTTACGTATACACAAAGTAAGGGATACACAGTGTGCTGTAGGATACACAGTGCTTGTGTATTACGTTTAAACTCCGTTTACACATTGCAGTTGTGACTACCGCGTGTATACGTATGTATTTTGCTTCGTGTATACATCTTGTGCTAGATAAAACTACTTCTTATGACGAATTTAGGACATAATACAAGTTTTAATGCCTAACTTTTCGTTCTTTTTAAGAAATATTTATTCAATGATACCAATTATATCTTTTTAGAACGAAAATTAGGACAAAACTTTGTATTTTCCAAAAGTATTTCGATTGTAAGTTCAAGAGAAGTAGCCTTAAAATTGTTCCATTTTTGTTTTGTATTAGATGTACCATTTTTCTTCCATAAAATGGATTAAGTGGTTAAAAAATAAAATTCTTATATTTCTTTATATCATGGAATGCAATAGCGCAAATAACACAATAATAATAATTATTTACTCTGCAGAAACCAGAAGTAAAAACACTGTAAAAGAACAGAATTTGTATCAAAATGTATTAAAAATATAAGTACCTAGTATAACAACATACTAAAATGGTAAACACTGGTATATCGCCACGATTTGGTGGACCTCGTTTAGTCATTTTTTTTCTCCTCTTTTCCCTCCAAGCAGTTGGTTTGTTAGCATACTCATTCATCGAGCATTCTGTTGGACTTTGTTGTATTTTATTTCCAGATTAACAATCTCACCCTTAAATTTTATATGAAACTGATTATTGAATATTAAACGTAATCAGTGTAAACGAATATCAGTGTAAGAAGTTCTTTGAAGTGTTTAAATCTTTCTTTCTCTGGTCCATTTAGATTTTTATTATTTCCAAATTAAAAAAAATTATATTGCAGAGTTAACTCAGCTAACCTCTTTATCATTATATGAGAATATTTGGAGTTTTCATTCATTGGAGTCAAAATTTGGTAAATTGGGTATCGAGTAAGGGAAGAGTCGCTGCTATAATATTAATAATACTCTTAGGAAGGTGTAACAAGGTAATTAAAAACTTGTCCTTACCTTAAAATCTCTTTTAAACTACACACAAACAGAACATTTATATAGAGCTTCCGAATGATAAAACAATATAATGGCTGCTAACACATACTACTCCTAGAAAGGAAAAAGGAGAGAGGACACATAAGATACACTTGGTCGGTGTATCTACGCTGAGGCTATCCGCGCATGCGCACACCTTCATTTCATGCTAGAATGTAGACACAACAGTACACGATTACAAAGTGTCTATATAGATATTTATATTATGTGTATACTATACGTCACATTTTTACAAGGTGTGTACTATAGGTACAACTATGATACGAAGTATCACACATACATATGACTTATACATTGTATGTCTCATGTACCAACGTCAGATTTCATCATTTTAATAATTATTTGTTACGGTACAAAAAAACTCTTTAGAATCTTGAGTACATACCGTATACAACTAGTAAACACTGTATCACACAATTCTATCAATATAAACCTGCATGTAACTCATATGTATATGTTAGAACTAGATGAACACTTAGATTCACTTTAACATATGTTGTTTCTCATGTGTCTCCCTTGTAGAAACGTAGTTTCATTTGGACGTGCTATATGGGCTGTGGTAAAATAAAAACACGAGTTTTGTTTTATTATTTACAAGTCTATTTAGGCATTTCCATCAACTGTTTTGTGAATCAAGTAGATATCAAACTAACTGTTATTCATACATATTATGTTAAACTATTAAAATTAGTCAATGTTAATTATTATTTAAAGTAAGGAACTTTTCGAAGTACTATATTTGATGCACCCTGTATATTACAGGCTCATTGATGGATTGATAACGATAGCAAACACATTAGGAACCGACCGTATCTAATTAACAGGGGTTAACAGCCGTAATTGTATAATTAAAAGCCTATTTGTTTAGATTAAAATATCGTAAATTATGTAATCTAAATAGATGGAACAAATATACAGGGTGTTTTGCGTCAATGTAATATTTTATATGTGTGTTTTTGAGGTAATAATATATTTTTGTGCAAATTATAATAGGAATATGAATTAAATTTTCTTTTATATTTTTTTATTTTAATTTATTTCTTATTTTACTTTATCTTTTCTTGTTTTTTCCGATTTGGTTTCATTTTTTTCTGGCTCTATTTGAGGTATGATGATACAGATTTAACATTAATTTTTTATATACCTACATTAATATTTCCTTTTTTAGAAGCTTATGATCTTGTCCAAAAAATGTATGACAAATAATATTCTTAATATATTCGTAATTAAGTATATAAAAAATATAGAGAGATTCAAATTAAACAAATAAAGTTAATGATGATATCTCGGAAACGAAATGTCAGATTGAAACTCTAATAATACCAATTTGTAGAGCAAGAAAAATACCATAGGGAACGTAAAATTTTGGATTGTATATACCTTTTCATTTGGGAGTGAGAAAAGAAAGAAATCCGAAAAATCAGTTTTTTCTCAAATATCTTTGAAAGTATTTTTTTAGATTTA